ATCAGTATGTTAACTATGTACTCTGACATTGTTTTGGAGCACAAAACAACTTTCTGGAACAAGGGACCTGCTACCTGCTACCTTAGCAGTGGGACTTGTCCATCAGTAGTGAGCCGCTTAGACGTGTCAAGTACTCCGTACTCCACATTCCTCAAATTATTTTCTTCTCTGTTGTGGGAGTTATACCGGAAGCTTTTGAGGGAAATCTGGTAAAAATTCCCCAGTGTCATTTCACAGATCAGGTCCAGTCAGAAGAACTAAAGGAAGCTTTGTTCCGACCCGGGAGCGAGCGTGCTCAGCCAGGAGAGGGGACCCAGCGGGACCGGGCGGGGGACTGTTGTGAATACGAGACCTTCCCGGCAGTCTGCGGAGGTTGGGAAGTTGCTGAGTCCCATCTGCTGGGGCCAGGAGGTTAAACAACCCCTCTCTGCTTCCAGATTCAGCCGCAGGAAATCAGCCCTCCTCCTACGGCCAACCTGGACCGCTCCAACGACAAAGTCTACGAGAATGTAACTGGGCTGGTGAAAGCAGTCATAGAAATGTCCAGTAAAATCCAGCCAGCTCCGCCGGAGGAGTATGTACCCATGGTAAAGGTACGGAGGCAATTCCTAAAATCAGTGTTTGATTTCTCCCCTGAACGAGGTCTTCAAGTGGCGCAGGAGAAACTTTCTGGAAAGTTGGAAGTAGAAAAGCTTTTTGTGTTTCCAGGGGGAAAACTGTGGTCGGAGTGCTGGAGAGTTGGATTCTGTTAACAGTAGTGTGGGCAACGGTGCTTTTATTCCCCAGCTTGCCTGTGCTTATCCAGGGGCAGCGAGTTGTGTATGATCTTCTCTATATTCCACTTTTTAAAAAGAATTTTTTTTTAATTATTAACCCTTTGGCATTTTGTTTTGATGGTGAAACATGGAATTGCAAGTGGGGTTTTCAAAGTCCCTCAGCCGTGTTCTAACTCCCTTCTTACCCAATGAGGGATTAAGCCTATCGGTTGCTTCCCGCACTCCGGCTACAAGGCTCTCATCCATTCATTCCACGTTTCTAAACTTTATTTTCTTAATTTATTTTTTTTCTTAGGAGGTTGGTTTGGCGTTAAGAACCTTACTGGCGACAGTAGATGAGTCCCTCCCCATGCTTCCTGCGAGCACCCACAGGGAGGTACGTAGAGCTCCCCTCGCCTGATGCTCAGCCTGTTATGTTTCAAGTTGGCCCCAGCCAGGACAGCTATCTGGACGTGTTTTGACTCACTAGGCAGTGTGAACTCTCGGGTTATAATTCTTCATGAAATTAATTTTATTAGAATCCAGTTGCTGTGTGAACGCAGGCTTTTATTGACTTAAGTGAAGACACTCAAACTGGATGTAATTGAAGAGCATACGACACGCGCACATATGAAGTGGACATAAAAACGGTTAGCAGTGCTTACACGGAACGTCTTAGTGCAAGTTTAATCTTTCAATAAACTACAGCTTGCACGCAAAGTCACTAAACAGGTAATTGAGCATAGCTCAGTGCAGCTGGAAGGTTTTGATGAGATATCCCGTAATAACCTAGTTCTGGATGAGAAGTGACTGAGATCTTTCAGTGAAGTTCATGAGTCAGGAGTGAAACTGCTTTCCTCCAAAACCTTGAGTGAGCGTGATAACGAGAAAGCCAGAGAACGGTTCTTTAAGTGCCATCTTAGAGAATGACCCTGACTTCAGCTTTGTTGGTTAAGTAACCTGTATCCAGCTTCTTCTTTATCCGGTTTTATTTTTTACTGCTTTAGAGCTACTTTAATAACAGCAATAAAAAGGGTGACGATAATAGGGACCCGGAGACGTGGAACAAGGTGTTCATTCTAAGACCGGGGTTAAAATTCATCACCATCGATTTGGGTCTCGGTGCTGTGTAAAGGTGGGCGGCTCAGCAGCTGGCAAGGCTGCTCTCGATCTCCACACAGCGCAGGGGGCGGGTGCCGAAATTCCATCTGCTCCCCGTGGGGCCCACGGAAACGGCCCCAGCCTCGATGCCGGAGCTCACGCAGGGGCTACGGAGGGTGGACAGTCCCGTTGCTCTGCGGTATCGCTCTCACGAGCACAGCGCTTGTAATGACTCACAGCTGACTGAATCTTCTTGTTCCAGATTGAGATGGCGCAGAAGCTGCTGAACTCGGACTTGGCCGAGCTCATTAACAAGATGAAACTGGCCCAGCAGTACGTCATGACCAGCCTGCAGCAGGAGTACAAAAAGCAAATGCTGACGGCTGCTCACGCTCTGGCTGTGGATGCCAAAAACTTGTTGGATGTTATTGATCAAGCCAGACTGCGAATGATCAGTCAGCCCAGACCACACTAAGTCCTGAGGGGAGAGTTTCATCAGTCTAAGAATTCTGCTTGCGAAAGGATGTTATTTCACCTTCCACCAGCAGTGAGGATTAACCCAGTGTAGTCCTGGCTTTCCAGCGCCTCTTGCTTCAGCAGACCTGACTGACAGCTGTTGGTTCTCTCTCATTACAAAAGTTTAACCAAGTTTTTATCATAAAGCCAAGCTGGTCTGGGATTCAAAAAGTGGCATTATCACAAGATGAAGTTTGTACAGAAGTCCTCGGGAAATCACGGCTATGGAGCGCACTTCAGTTTTACACCATCGCATGGGACACGCTTAGCCTAGAGCTGCCGCAGGGTTACGGTCTCCGAGCCAGAACTGTCCGAGCAGCAGATCAGAGAAAGATATTGTGAAGTGAAGAATTCGGGGAAACCTCAGGGCTGAGAATTCTTGCCCACAGTATATGAACTATCCAGACTGGATTTTTTTTATTAGAACACTTAACGTCGCAATATGCTAATCACAATTTACAGAGAAAGAATAAAAAGCTATATTTTCAAGACTTCGGTCATTTCAAGACAAAAACTAAAGCCCTCTTCATCTTCCTGCCTTTTACTTTTATGTGAATGTGTGAAGCATTTGTTTGGAACTAGCTGTAGAACACAACTGAAAACTCGTCTTTTTCACCAGAATAACGTGCCAGTTCTTTTGTAGCAACGTTGTTTTCCTTGGAAGCAAAAATGCTGCTTTGTACCAGAGCAATTCAGAGCTGCATTGAGAGGAGTTCCGTAACCATTCATGTCCCCCATTTTTATATAATTTATAAAGACAGATTAAAGCCATGTTGAATATTTTAAACCCACGGTAGTTAACTAACCCATCCTTTTGTCTATCTTGCCTGGGAGGAGTTACAATAGAGCAGTGTAATTAGATTTTCCTTGGTTTTCCAGTTACGCCATCTGTTCTGTTAAAATAAAAACCACACTCCCTTTTTGCTGTTGAGGGATATAAATTATTCTCAGGAAGAATATAATGAACTGTACAGTTACTTTGACCTATTAAAAAGGTGTTACCAGTGACATTCCGGGTATATTATTTTGTGTGTGCATGCACTGCAGAAGAAACCACTGCGAGTTTTCTCTGCTTACAGAATTTTTCCCCCTACCCTAATCCGCAAGCTTTTACCTGTTCGCTTACGCAGGACTTAAGGCGCAACAGTGAGCATCCAAGGGGGAAATCCGAGGTTTAAGGAGTCTTCCAGAAAGCAGTTTTTCCTCCAACTATGGAGCACAGGAACGAGTCAGTGTTATCACCTGCTTAAGTGACTTGTCATTACTTGGTGTCACTCCTTATCTTTAGACTTTTAAAATGCATTTTCCTAGGGGAAGGTTTCTTTGAAAAGGGGTGAGGGAAGGTAGCAGTTGTGGGGTTTGCAGGAACAGTTTTGGAAGCTCAGCAGAGTTCTCAGCAGCAGCAGGGGGGTGCACGGACTAAATGCTTCCTTGGGTGCCTGCATCCTTCAAAACACAAATGAGCTCCAGTGTTGTGGGAAGATGGGACGGTGCGGAGTGCGTCTGTTGTGGGTCTGGATGTGGAAGAACCCTCCTACACAACTTCGGAGTCCCCTCTTACACACTTGAACATTTTGATAATGTGTCATTTTCATGTAGTATTTTAGAACACGCGTTAGATAGTGACAGCCCTTACCTTGCTCAGTTGCTCTGTAAAAGTCCTGGTCAAAAGTGAGAAATACAGCATAGAATCACAAAGGTTGGAAAAGACCCTTAAGATCGAGTCCAACCGTTAACCCAGCACTGCCAAGCCCACCACTAAACCATGTCCTCAAGCACCACATCTCTCTCTTTTAACTCGGGATGGAGACTCAACCACTGCCCTGGGCAGCCTGTGCCAGGGCCTGACAGCCCTTTCGGTGAAGAAGTTTTTCCTAATATCCAACCTAAACTTCCCCGGGTGCAGCTTGAGGCCGTTTCCTCTCGTCCTATCTCTTGTTATGAGAGAGAAGAGTATTCCTTTTGTACGTAAAGTTACACAATCTTCCACACCTGCCCATCAAAGCAGTTTTCAGAGATGCTCCTTACCTTTCTTTCTGGAAAAGTGAAAAAAATCACACACCTTACACAACCTAGGCTTGGTGCCTAGCACTGCAAGACTCAATCCGTTTTTAAATTATACCTACTCATGAATAAACAGTATCCTAGCTTTAGCCTCCAACACGGGCCTTTCGCTGAGTTTCAGCCTCTTCCCCCGGTCTTCAGCTCAACAACTGCCCTCCACTGGGAAGCGCTCACAGTCCCTGCTGTGCTTTCAGCAGCCTTTAGCTGCCCCCGAAGAGGTTGAATCACTGGTACAGGAAGCTGCACTCTTGCTAACGCGTTAACTTGACTGGTGGCAGCTCCCCCGAGAGGCTGCGGCCCCCCCCGCCAAGCCGCAGCCCTTCCGCTGAACGTCCCCACGTCCCGCGCTCACCGCGATGACGTTTCCACCCTTGTCCATACGCTATGAACGCAGTCAGGAGCCTGAACTGTCGCTGTGCTATGCCTATGCTGAGTACAAAGAAGCGACAAGGAGAGGTGTAAAACCCCAGATTAACAGGCAATGACGGCAGTTTCGGTACCTGCAGGTGACCCAGCCATCCTCCATCCACTCCCCTTGACATCCATCCATTTTAGAGACAAGAGTACAATTAAATGGTCTTTATTGCAGGCAGGTACAAAACTAATTAGTCAAAAAGACCAAAGCCCATGTCATCATCAGATTCCTCTGATTCTTCTTTCTTTTCCTCTTCTTTCTTCTCCTCAGCTAGAAAAGGAGAAAGGGATCAGGATTTTTCCATTTTACCAGCCCATATCGCATACCACAACAGACTTCACGTCCCGTGACAAACATCAAGGAAGCCCTGAGCAACCCTAACGAGCTGAGCTAACGACCCAAGGAGACCAGCGTTTCCACTATTAGGGAAGCGGGTTTGTGCCTTCAAAGTTCATTTCTATCAAATCTGAAAAACTTCAGAAAGAAGGTGCTCTCCCTCTTGCCATCAGGGTGAGATCCTGATGATACACGGGGAGATCAGCCTTAACTCCGAGGCAACGCTAATCCTGTAGGCTGACTCAAAGCGCAATTCCAGCCCTTCTAAATAAAAGGGAGGGTTTTGTTTTCCTCTAGGCCGCACCCATGCACACTACCAACCACGTGAAAATTGCACGGGGAAGAGGCAGGCTGACTCTCAAGCTGATAACAAGCAGCTCTGTAACCCAGTATTTCTCCCAGCTGAAGATGACCCCGCAGGACCGCGGACGCCCACTTACCAGGGGCCGCACCGCCCGCGGGCGCAGCCCCGCCAGCAGGAGCGGCTGCAGCTGGAGCCCCGCCGCCTCCAGCTCCTACGTTGCAGATCAGGCTGCCGATGTCGATGTTAGCGAGAGCCTGGGGAGAGCGAGCAGCACAACGGCCGCGTTAACGGGGGGCAGCTCTGCTTCAGCGCCGGGCACCTGCCCGGTCACGGCGTGAGGAAACCGCAGCGCCACAGCGCAGCGGCCCGCTCTCACCAGCGCAGCCACCCTTACTCCGTCGCTTTTACGCTCGCTGAAAGCAGCGTTTCCCAGCTGAACGCGCCGGGGCCCGCTGCCCATCTCCGCACCGCCGGGCGCCGCCGTC